CATAACCAATTTTGAATATGGAAGTGAGACAGGTGGCTGCTTGGAACAAAGGGTTCATTGGGCTTCTCAGATATCTTCAGAGCATTACAAGATGGGCATAAGGAGCAAAACAGGGTACCGGGTTGTAGGGGCACACTCAATGTGTCACTGAGCTAGGATGGAGAAAAGAGCCAATCTAAAGAAAAGAAGCCTTCGTGGATGCACCACTAAAGATAACCACTGTCAGCCACACCGTGGCTTAGACCGAAACAAACTTACAGATTTGCAAGGAAATTTATATTAGTTGTGTCTTGAGCGGGAAGTGTGGGGGAGAATTTTCATAGTGTTCAGATGTAAAATTACCTGTAACAATTTAAGGGATTTCTAAAAATATTTATCTTAGACTGAATGTCCTACATATTCAGTAATCCCTATTTACTTTAGTATTTTGTATTAGAGAATTCTGAGCACTAAAATGATGTGTATTTTATTCATACCATTTTCATTTAGATAATCACAAAGGTGAATTTCTCCAGGCTGAAATCTCATGATTTATGGTCTGAAACACATGCCTAACTCCAAATGGAGTTCTAACTTGTAAAAAGCCCTTTACAGTTCCAGTTCTGCATGGCATTTAAGTAGCATTTTAAAGCTATTTGTGTTTTTCCACTTCACCTTTTCCAACTCATTAAAATGGATAAAAGTATTCAATATTAGAACATTTTTGCTGTGCAAAAAAAAAATGAACTTTTTAAACAGATTGCATTTTAAATGAATTGTCAACAGTAGAATGGACTCAAATATATTAACATCTCAAGTCCTGCAGATATTAAAACTAAATTCACTCAGAACCTATCATGCTAAACTGTTTGCCTTTGGTGCTGAGTGAATTCTACAGTCAGAGCTACCAGTTCTCAGGACTCTGATGTTAAATTTGAATTTAAGTAACTTCCATAGTGGAGTCAATAAACTCTTTAAGGTGACTTTTATTAGTAAATGGAGCCATTATAAGAAAAAAAATCTTCACATTTTCCAGGTGAGGTTGAAAACAACTCCAAGACTGCAGGCTGCTCTGTTGCTCTGATCCACTTTTATTTTATAAAGATCAGAAGTCAGCTTCCTTTCCTCANCTAGAAGGAAGTGAGGCAGCCAGGAAGTGGCTGGTAGGCTGAGAACGCAGGGTAGCTATTCAGATGACAGGGTGTCACAAGCAGGTCTAGGGTCTAGTCCTGGAGTGGGCAGGCCTGACAGATGGGGGAGGCTGATGGGCACTCCCTGAGGTTATGTGCACAGACAGCAAAAGCTACCATATTCACTTCATTCTAGACCAGGATTCTCCAAAGAGCCCAACATAAACTGGTTCATCTTCAGATTTAATGGATGAAACTTAGTAGAGCTGGAATATATTATTTTTACAGGTTTAACTATAGGCTCATTTTTAGAAGAGAAAATTCATTCTTAAAGAGGTGCTGCAATGTGTCCACGTTCACACAGATGACTAGTCAAGATTCGGACTCGGCTCTCCCGACTGGGTACAGTACTCTTCATTTCTCCATGCTGACTCAGTCAGTCTTGGACATATCGTGGCCTCTGTTATGAAATTCAGAACCTATCAGAACTTGGTGCTTTGTTTCCTCTGAACTGTCAGGTTAATCTTGCATCAAGAAATTAAGTAAAAATAAAGGAGTGTTGGAAATTCTAAGATCTGCCTTTTGCACAAGATTGTTGACCAGTGTGAACTGATTTTTGTTCCTTTAATCCCCCTGTTCCTCCTCAAAGCTGTTTCCATTCTCTCTTGCATTGACCTCTTACTCACTTCCTTCCCTCAATTACTGATATATTAAACCAATAGAGAAAAACTCCTGTGAGAGACATAGTGTAACTCAAAAAAAAAAAAATAATGATGGCATGCGAACAGTGGTGGTAAGTTTGCGTAGAATTAAACTGCATCCAGTTTTAAGATCTTCCAACGTTTTTGGGCAAAGGTGAAAAAAAAAACAATTAAATCTTTCCATCTGCTTCCTACCACCATAGTCCTGCTTTTATGCACAGGGAATGGTAGCTTTTTAAAAAATACCCAGCTAATTTTTTTTTGAGTGACAAAGTTTTTGTGGGGGATTTCACTGTGAAGTGCTGAAAAGCAATCACTAAACTGAGAAAACATCCCTCATATTTACACAAACAGGTGGTCTGGACTTGGGTCAGCCTGAAACCTTTAGTCTGCTTCAGAGTTGTTCTGAGAATGTGTAAAGGATCCCCTGGGTTAAGTCTGGGGAGTCTCTTTGCACCCCCGCAGAGACCTGTTGTGTGTCCACCAGGCAACTGATACTTTGAACCATCGTGAAATGCTAACCAGCCCTTTCTCCCACTTGAAGGTATCATATCCTCTGCTACAAATGGAATGAAGAACCCCCAGTGAGCCCTGACACCTGCACTGCCATTTTGGAAAAAGCTGGTCTTGATAACTGGGCTCTTGGAAAAACAAAAGTAATGTTTTCATATCATTTTCAAGAACAGAATTAATAATTATGTTGGATTTACTGAGCATTGTAACATATTGCAGTGATTGAAAATATGGCTTTTTATGTTACAGAATCTCTAGCTTAAAATAGGACAAGTAAACTGATACATTCATAAATGTGTCCTTCAGCAAAATTAAGCACTTTGCTCTCATAAAGGTTTTTTTTAAGAAACTCAAAAATTTATGTTGACTATCAAAAAAATAGATGAAATTTAGTATGTTTTGCTTCCAATGGTATTGAAAACAGACTGATATAGTTTCTCTATTTAATGACCTCCAGATATAGTCAGAAATCCATACAGAATTGTAATAATTCTAAATAAGATGCTCTTTTTCTTTGTGTGCCTATTTCTCAAATCTGTTATTGTAAACTTGAAATTTATCCCGAGTGAAATATTCACCATTATTACTAGATTTGCTATTTGTGTTTGACTGTTGTTGTGTTTATATATTAGATCTGAGACCTATGGGAGCTTATCTTACTTAATCTCATAGAAAATGAGTAAAAAATCATAACCAATTTTGAATATGGAAGTGAGACAGGTGGCTGCTTAGAAAAAAGGGTTCATTGGGCTCCTCAGATATCTTCAGAGCATTACAAGATTGGCATAAGGAGCAAAACAGGGTACCGGGTTGTAGGGGCACACTCAATGTGTCACTGAGCTAGGATGGAGAAAAGAGCCAATCTAAAGAAAAGAAGCCTTCATGGATGCACCACTCAAGATAACCACTGTCAGCCACACCGTGGCTTAGACCAAAACAAACTTACAGATTTGCAAGGAAATTTATATTAGTTGTGTCTTGAGCGGGAAGTGTGGTGGAGAATTTTCATAGTGTTCAGATATATAATTACCTGTAACAATTTAAGGAATTTCTAAAAATATTTATCTTAGACTGTCCTACATATTCAGTAATCCCTATTTACTTTAGTATTTAGTACTTAGAGAATTCTGAACACTAAAAAGATGTGTATTTTATTCATACCATTTTCATTTAGATAATCACAAAGGTGAATTTACCCAGGCTGAAATCTATCTCATGACTTACAGTCTGAAACACATGCCTAACTCCAAATGGAGTTTTAACTTGTAAAAAGGCCTTTGCAGTTCCAGTTCTGTATGGTATTTAAGTAGCATTTTAAAGCTATTTGTGTGTTTCTACTTCACCTTCTCCAACTCATTAAGATGGGTAAAAGTATTCAATACTAGAACATTTCTAATGCTGTGCAAAAAAAAAATGACCTTTTTAAACAGATTGCATTTTAAATGAATTGTCAACAGTAGAATGGACTCGCATATATTAACATCTCGAGTCCTGCAGATATTAAAACTAAATTCACTCAGAACCTATCATGCTAAACCATTTGCCTTTGGTGCCGAGTGAATTCTACAGTCAGAGCTACCAGTTCTCAGGACTCTGCTGTTAAATTTGAATTTAAGTAACTTCCATAGTGGAGTCAATAAACTCTTTAAGGTGACTTTTATTAGTAAATGGAGCCATTATAAGAAAAAAAATCTTCACATTTTCCAGGTGAGGTTGAAAACTCAGATGAAAACAACTCCAAGACTGCAGGCTGCTCTGTTGCTCTGATCCACTTTTATTTTATAAAGATCAGAAGTCAGCTTCCTTTCCTCAAGGTGGCTGCTGGGTCTAGGAGAATGTTGTCCATTCTACCCGGGGCCCTCCGTCTGCCTTATTCCCTCCACAGACAACATTATGAGCCCCTGAAGGAGTGTCCCTGCCTTATTCACCTTTGTATGCCCAGCAGATACGTATGTATAACAGGTCTCAATAAACATTTGATGCATGAACTAGTACTATAACTGTCCTCTATCTTACAAATAGATTTGTAAGATTTAAAAATTTTGGAACTATAATTGTCTTTTTTATTTAAAAAAAGCGTAAAAATTAGTTTGACACAGATAATGCTAACACTTGATAGAAGAGCTCACCATCCTCCACTCCTATTGGCCCATCCAGCAAAACCCAGTTAGCTGTTGCAACTAAACCACATGATAGTTAAGCTGTATTCTACCTCACAGACAGGTTTTCTTCAAGCATAAAAATCTGGAATGTTATAGCAACTTCCAGGCCAAACAAGCAAAAGACAGTATTTTCAAAACCTAAAAAGATTTAGAAAATAATCTATTATGCAAGACATAGCACATAACTGTTTCACATCTCTGTGCTGTACTTTTATTTGTATTTTATTCTTTTAAGGTGTTCCTTAAATACTATCATGTGGAACAGTTAAATTTAATGCGAAAGGAAGCCATTGACAAGCTTATTTTGATTCAAGCCTGTGTCAGAGGATTCTTGGGTTCAAGAAGGTACCAAAAAATACAGGAGAAAAGGAAAGAGAGCGCTATAATACTACAGTCAGGTAATTACCCAGACCATTTCTCAGTGTAACTAAGCATAAAATTCTTTTTAGATACGGACCTAAGATCCAATCTTCTCTACAAACTTCCAATTCTTATGAAGCTTTTGTGTCTAATTTCAGACTGTTACTTTGATACTTTCTCTATACTAAATCTAAATCAGATTGTTTTAGTGATTGACACTTTTAATATCTGGATAAATGTTTCATCTTTAAAATTTGTCATGTATTAGTGAAACACATTTGATGTACTATGCAAGATATGGCAAGTAATTAAATTAATTATAGATCTCAAGAATATATTATTATAATCTGTTGAACAATAACATTTTTCCTGCTTTATTCCAAAGGTTATACTTGCCATAATTTTTGACAATTTAATTAAATTGGGAAAAGGCATTTTTGAGAAAGGACATCCGTTCCTTTCTATGATCTGTAGGAAATAATATTTATAATTATACTTCATAAATTTGTATTGAAATATATTAATAGACTTTGTATATTTCACTTTCCATGTTTCTATAAGAAACTAAATTTAGAACCTTGCATGGCTTTGTACAGCATCATACAAAATCTTTTGACTGGACATTTCACAGTAAAAATATATTTTACGATGTAACCTAGTACACTCATATACTAAAAGCAATGCAATCTGATCACTTCTGTTCTGGTTTATTCCACTTTATTGTTAAATGCTCAGTTTGGCCCACTAAATTGATTTTATGATCCGGTACTGATTTGTAGCCTATGTTCTGAAGAACACTAATGTACTGGGCAGGACAGCTGATAAACATTCAGGACACTCATGGTCCAGTCCTAGTTCTGCTGATCCATAATGCTCATCAGCATCTCTTTTGCAAATTTCAACCCTTAACATTTCACTGGGACAGCAAAATGCAAACCCTGTAGTTTGGGATTCATTCCTTATCCTCAATTCCAGAATTCACAAATGCTGAAAATAAGCAGTTTTTCACAATTCATTTGGCAATGAAATATAACCAAATATTTGCAGTCTTTTATTCATCCCAATTAGTAAAAAATATTGTGCTTTTCTGAAGAAATACTCATGTGTTTAATTATGGAATGCTGCCCTGACATGGGGAATGTTATAGAAATATGTTGTTTACTCTGAAATCCCTTCCTAAAATGAAAAAGTTTAAATCTGAATTCTGAAATATATCTGGATCTGAAGATAATTGGCCAAAAGTTCCAAGCATACACTTAGCTATAGAGGTTTTCTACCATGAATGGCTGACCATGATAAAACTAAAAGGAAAATAATTATTAGCATGTTTCAAGCAAATGAGTACAATTTATCTTTTGCATCAACTTAGCTCATCTCTATAATTTTAGTTTCATTTTAGTACTCTCTCTAATATGAAAGTTACTTTAATTATTTTCTATCACTTGTCATCTATAAGAGTGTTGTTAATGGATCCCATATTTTTTTGTGAACCAGTTCTATTTGGAGTCTTTAATTTCATTTTCCTCTTTCACTTTGATGGTCAAAAAAAACATTTGTTTCCACTCATCTAGGCAATGTTCTTTTGTTTATTATGATTAACATTACTCCGGGCTTTATATGTTTCAGCTGCAAGAGGACATCTAGCCAGGAAACAAAGAAAAGAAACTGTTAACACAAAAAACACAGCAATGACAACCGTTCGGACTCATGATCAGGAATGTGACTACAAGAAAAACTTCGAAAATAAAAGGTATAGTGATGTCTATTCTTATAACATTTTGATACTATAGATTTTTCAAGTCTGTAAAGTCACAAAATAAAGTTCAGTCTTTCTAATACCTAACCAGGTTGCTAATGCTGATGCATTAAATGTTAGTGAACACCCAGTGGCAAGTTTCATGTTCTTTATCCTCTTTGGCAATTTACACTGATGAACACACTTTACCTCTCGAAGCATTTTCTTCCTCAGCCTCTGCCAGACTGCTCTCTACATTTCTGCTCCTAATTGTGAGTGTCTTTTGCTAATTCCTCCTCCTCTCCCTATATCTAAATCCTCCTCCACATCTAAATACTGTCCCTGGGCTCTATCATTTATTCCCATGGCTTCAATAACCAATATGTCATTGGCTGCCCAGTCATAATCTAATCTTCAAAGCATAGCTCCGTTGCCCTTCTTGTGAGCCTCCTTATCTATGTCTCTTAGTGCATATTAGCAGATCCACCTGAATTCATTTATACAGTAGGCTTTGTGCCAAACAGTGGATACACACTAATAAATGAGACAAAATCCTTATCCTCAAAATACTCCCAGATTCATGGAAGAGAAATATAACCAATAAATACATAATTCTAAAAACTTGAGTTCATTCTGCTATAAAAATATGCAAAGGGTGCAGTAGGGGCATGAAGGAGGGAACCCTGCCTTGGTTGAAAGGGGAAAATATCTATATTTTGCTTAAGTAATAAAACTTGAACTGATTGAAAGATGAGTAAGTGGTTTTACAGGCAGATAGTGATCATTCCAGCCCCACTACAGTCCTTTTGTCTTTTTTATCCCCAAATTGATTGAGATTTACTTGACATATAGCATGTATAATCTTAAGGTGTACAACATAATGATTTGATTTGTGGAAAGACCACCACATAAGATTAGTTAACACCTCTGTCACCTCACTGAATATAGTTGTGTGTGTGGGAGAATGAGAACATGTAAGACCTACACTCTTAGCAACTTACAAATGTACAATACAGTCTTGTTAGCAGTCATTATGCCCTATATTAGATCTCCAGAACTTCTCTATCATTTTTAAATTTCAACTTTATTGAGGTACATATAATTGACATATATAATTATAAATACTGAACATCATGGCAATTTGATAAATGTCTACATTGTGAAAGGATTCCCTCCTTTTAGGTAATTAATACATCCACACATCCATCACCTCACATAGTTATCTTGTGTGTGTGTGTGTGTGTGTGTGTGTGAGAGAGAGAGAGAGAGAGAGAGAGAGAGAGAGAACATTTCAGTTCTATTCTCTGGGCAAAATTCAGTTATACAATTCAGTGTTGTCAACTACAGTCCCCATATTTTATGTTAGATTCTGAGACCTATTCATCTTATAGCTGACAGTTTGTTGTACTTTTACCAACCTCTCCCAATTTTCCCCACAGTCCATCTCTGGTAACCACTTTTCTGCTTTTCTGTTTCTGTGAATTTTACTCTTTCTTTTTTTTAGGTTCCATATAAAAGTGATACCATGTGGTATTTGTCTTTCTCTGTCTGATTTATTTCACTTCACCTGATTCCCTAAAGCCCATCCATGTCGTCACAAATGGTAGGATTTCCTTCTTTCTTGTGGTTGAATAATACCCCACTTTATGCAAATACCATATATTCTTTATCCATTCATCCATTGGTGGACATTTAGGTTGATATTTCAGTGAACATGGAAGTGCAGAAATCTCTTTGATAAAATGGTTTCATTTCCTTTGGATCTAATCAGGAAGTGGGATTGGATTGCTGTATCATATGGCAATTATATTTTCAGTTTTTTGAGGAACCTCCATACTGTTTTCCATAGTGGCTGCACCAGTTTACATTCACACCAACACTGACCTAGAATTCCCCTTCTCCACACCTTCACCAATACTTGTTTATCTCTTGTCTTTTTGATGAAAGCCATTCTAACAGGTAGAAGGTAACGTCTAATTGTGATTTAAGTTTGCATTTCCCTGGTGATTAGTGATGTTGAGCATCTTTTCACGTGTGTGTTGTATGTCTTCTTTGACGAATTTCTCTTCAGATCATCTGCACATGTTTATTTTTTCTGTTGAATTGTATAAATTCTTTATATATTTTGGATATTAGCCCCTTATCAGATATATTATTTGCAAATGTTTTCCCCCATTTGGCAAATTCCTTTTTTACTTTGTTGATGACTTCCTTTGTTCTGTAGAAGTTTTTTTATTTGATGTGGTCCCATTTGTTTATTTTTGCTTTCACTTCCTTTGCTTTTAGTGTCAGATCCAAAAAATTTATTGCCAACACTGACATCAGAAACTTACTGCCAATGTTTTCTTCTAGGAGTTTTATGGTTTCAAGTGTTATGTTCAAGTCTTTAATCCATTTTGAGTTGAATTTCATGTATGGTGTAAGATAGAAATCCAGTTTCATTCTTTTGCATGTGGCCATCCAGTTTTCCAGCACCATTTATTGAAGAGATTATTCTTTCCCATGGTATATTCTTGGCTCCTTTGTCATAAATTAATTGACCATAAATGAATGTGTTTATTTCTGGGCTCTGTATTCTGTTCCATTGATCTTTCATATGTCTGTTTTCCTGTCAATACCATACTGTTTTGATGATTATAGCTTTGTAATATAATTTACTCATGTCCTCTCATTAATGACATTTTGACTAATATAAGCATTCTGTGGAGATATTCAAAATACCTACATAGCCATTCATTTAAATTATGGGATTCTTGGTCCCCTGCCTTATTCCATGATCCCTGGCAGAACAATTGGGATTTTGTTATGCTTCCCATATAAAAACCTAAGGATGTTATAGTAGACCTAGGAAGTGGCCAGTGAAATTAGGAAAATTGAGTCCCAGAAGCTTTTTCCCAGTTTGATTAAAAAAGAAGTCCTTCTTTACAAACAGACTGTAAAAGACCAAAACTCTCCCGTGGCTTTCCTGGATCAAAAAAGAAAAGTTTTTGGCAAAAGCCCCCCGAGTAGCATGTCAGGTGTCAGGTTATGACTTTTTAAGTTGACCCTAACACCCATACTGCTCTTGTGAGGGTTTTGCCCTCCTCAAAAAGAAAATTGAGAAAACAAGCTGTGTGACTACAAAAAGAGATGCAGAGATCTTATCTTCAAGTTGAGGGGAAATCATTTTGGAAGGATGCTGGTAAAGTACTACTATAAAATTTTGGCCAACATATACGATCATGGGCTATAGTTGGAATGCTACTTTACCTTTAATTTTGTAATATTTTTCCTATGATCAGTAGCTTAGAGTTTATTAAAGCACAGCATGTCAGCTGAGAGAACATACCCTGTGTCCTGGTCTCAAATTGAGATATATTTTCCACAACATCTCCTGACTATAGATACTTAGTTTTGAAAAGGACTTAATTTGAAGTGATTAAACACCTAGGTTTTCTCACTCTAAGTTGAAACTGGCTTTATCATTATTTGAGTAGCCATCACAGTTGTCGTGAAAGTGCTTTGGGAAACACTTGATTATTTGATTAAAGTGACTTGATAATTTTTCATCTTGAGCTTTTTGTCCCTTTTGCTTTTTCTCCCAAAGTTATGTAGATGCAGCTATTACCAAAAGAAATAATAAGCTCTAGTTTAGTGTTATATATTCAGATGCCATATGTTTTACACAGGGAATCTTTTGTGAAGAAACAGACAGAAAATGCAGTCTCTACTAATGAAATAGTCATTCCAGCTCCAAATAATAAAGGGAGTGCATCTGCAGTGATGGCTTCTACTTTGAAAGCAGAAGGAGAGGTTGTGAATGCTGTTGAAAATAACAACAGCACCTATCAGACTCAGAAAAAAGTCAATAATGTGTATAGGGAAGAAGACAAAAGTTTCATTCTTTTGCATGTGGCCATCCAGTTTTCCAGCACCATTTATTGAAGAGACTATTCTTTCCATTGGTATATTCTTGGCTCCTTTATCATAAATTAATTGACCATAAATGAATGTGTTTATTTCTGGGCTCTGTATTCTGTTCCATTGATCTTTCATATGTCTGTTTTTCTATCAATACCATACTGTTTTGATGATTATAGCTTTGTAATATAATTTGTTCATGTCCTCTCATAAATGATATTTTGACTAATGTAAGCATTCTCTGGAGATATTCAAAATACATGCATAGCCATTCATTTAAATTATGGGATTCTTGGTCCCCTACCTCATTCCATAATCCCTGGCAGAACAACTTGGATTTTGTTATGCTTCCCATATAAAAACCTAAGGATGTCATAGTAGACCTAGGAAGTGGCCAGTGAAATTAGGAAAATTGAGTCCCAGAAGCTTTTTCCAAGTTTGATTAAAAAAGAAGTCCTTCTTTACAAACAGACCGTAAAAGACCAAAACTCTCCCGTGGCTTTCCTGGATCAAAAAAGAAAAATTTCTGGCAAAAGCCCCTGAGTAGCATATCAGGGTGTCAGGTATGACTTTTTAAGCTGACCTTAACACGCATACTGCTCTTGTGAGGGTTTTGCCCTCCTCAAAAAGAAAAATGGGAAAACAAGCTGTGTGACTACAAAAAGAGATGCAGAGATCTTATCTTCAAGTTGAGGGGAAATCATTTTGGAAGGATGCTGGTAAAGTACCACTGTAAAATTTTGGTCAATATATATATATGATCATGGGCTGTAGTTGGAATGCTACTTTTCCTTTAATTTTGTAATATTTTTCTTATGATCAGTAGGTTACAGTTTATTAAAGTACAGCATGTCAACTGAGAGAACATACCCTGTGTCCTGGTCTCAAATTGAGATATATTTTCCACAACATCTCCTGACTATAGGTACTTAGTTTTGAAAAGGACTTAATTTGAAGTGATTAAACACCTAGGTTTTCTCACTCTTAAGTTGAAACGGGCTTTATCATTATCTGAGTAGCCATCACAGTTGTCCGTGAGAGAATGTTTTGGGAAACACTTGACTATTTGATTAAAGTGACTTGATAATTTTTCATCTTGAGCTTTTTGTCTCTTTTGCTTTTTCTCCCAACATTATGTAGATGTAGCTATTACCAAAAGAAATAATAAGCTCTAGTTTAGTGTTATATATTCAGATGCCATATGTTTTGCACAGGGAATCTTTTGTGAAGAAACAAACAGAAAATGCAGTCTCTACTAATGAAGTAGTCATTCCAGCTCCCAATAATAAAGGGAGTACATCTGCAGTGATGGCTTCTACTTTGAAAGCAGAAGGAGAGGATGTGAATGCTGTTGAAAATAACAACAGAACCTATCAGACTCAGAAAAAAGTCAATAATGTGTATAGGGAAGAAGCCAACCAACAACCGAGTTTGGTGGGGGACCTCTGGACGGAAGCAAGCTCCAAAAAGAAACATATGAAACACCTAGAAGAAAACAGTGAGACAAATAAAGTGGAGAAGGACACTGTGATCCAGAAGTACTACCAGAGGTACACAGAAGAGAGGAATTTTGAAGACTCAAAAGCAGCATATCTGGGAAAGGAGGGCCATATCGGAGAGGCCACACTGCCCAGGACTTTGGTTAGCTGAGAATGATGCTAAGCAGCCCTCTTTTAAAAAAACTTTGGAACCTAGTCTTAGCCAAAGGCCAATTTATCAAAATGTAAACAGCAAAGAAACAGAGAAGAAGACATCAGTGGTCACCTAGAATGCACCAGTATGCAGCCCACAGAGGAGCCATCAGAGGCATGGGACAGTCACAGAGAGGCAAGTTGGACCAACAAAACAAGGCCCGGAAGCAGATAGAGCAGCCGTGTTCATCCAGAGCAAATTCCGGGGCTACAGGAGGAGGCAGTGGTTAAGGATGGACAGGATGACTTCTTTTAGAAATCAAAAGACTGTCGTAGCACCAACAGATGTAGCAAGAAATACCCACAATTTGTGTTCCTATCCCACAAAACACAGGGAACCCTGTCACATCAACATGAAGAACGGTAAAGACTCAAAAGCAATTTCAGAAAAAGAAGCGTCTGATTTGGCAATTTTTTCAAAACAGGTATGTGAATAAATAGATTTTTTTTTAACTAGTAAAATCTCAGGGAACTAAACAATAACTGAATTAAACAAATAATTATTAAGTCATATATTGTTTCTTCTGTTTTTAGGAGACTGCAAATCTTTTAAATAGAATGTCTCAAGGGTTGTGTTATTCAAATAGCTGTTAAACTTTTAAACAAATTGCTGTGATAAAAATAGTAGAAAAGAATGTAGAAATCTTGTTTAATAAGGAGACCAGTCATTGGTTTATATAGCTTACTAAAATGCATTGACAATGCGAATTTTCACATATCTAAGATCTTTCATTATAGCTAAAAAAAATAAGAAAAGTTTCCAAATCCTCTTAAGTCCCAAATTTTGAGGAGACACAATCAGGTATCAAAATTAGGTGTGTAGCTATACTGAAACATATATGCAATGAAGATGGAGGTCTATATGTTGTATCATGACAATGTGGAACCATAAAGAAAATCCACCAAGAAAAACTACATCTTGTGCTATTAGTAGGCTATATTTTGACTGTTTCTAGAAGGGAGCAATTGGCTGGAGGGAGTTCCCATGGATGCAAAGGGAACAATGATGAATTAGTGCAATGGCGATACCAAGGGGTAGCTCCTACAAATGGTGATTCCAGTTCTTGCTCTTCCAAGTGGTTGGATCTTAATAAAATCACTTTATATGTTAGCCCCTTCATTTTCTCCTGTGTAAAGTGAAGTATTTTAACCAGATGACCTCTAAAATTTATATTGTATATTGTAAATTAATATACACTATCAGTGTAATCAATAGTGTATAAAATCATAGAAGAAATACCATAATGAATTAGTTCAAAGAACACCTAATACTCCTGAGTCCCTAAACTCTGCTTTTTGTCTCTGATGGTGGCTGGGCCCCTAAGAAAGCACATTCACTGCCCTTGGACACCTCCCTAGTTATTAGAGGTGTGCCCCAAACATGTCTGTGCTGATGAGTTTACTAGTCCCTGCCTATTCTGTGTTTTTCTAAGCATATGGAAATAATTTAATATACATGCAGGACTTCCTTTCTTATTGCATAAGTTTTCTCACTCTAAAGACCAAACCAGGGGTTAGTACCCTGACCTGCTGTGCAGCTGAAACATTAAGGAGATGGAGAATTTCCACGTCATCTACAGAGACCTGGCTGATAACGCCATGGGAGTGGATTCAACTCTCCACCAGGACAAAGCCAGAGGCAGAAAAGCAGGAGCCCCCCACATTCAACCTGGCAGAATAGCCATGTTAACAGAGCTGGGACCCAGACCAGAGGCAGAGGGACCCAGGCAGAAAGAGGGAGCAGAAGAGAGTAGCCCCTAGGATCAGGCTAAGACTAAAGGAATGGAGGGAGGGTAACATGATCCAAGGCAGCTGAGGGGTTCCTCAGGATAAAAGCAGGACAGCAGTCACAGCAGAACGGTAAGGACAGAAGGCAGACTCAAGAACCCCAGGAAGCCCATCAGGAGACAATGCTTCATGTAGCCTGACGTGTTTGGCAGTTTTAAATTGAAAGTGTAAGATGGAAGACAGCACAAAGGGGAAGGTTTTGTCAAGTGAGGACTTTACAGGACCTTGGTGCACCGGTAAGGGCAGGTTCTGGAGAAGAAGCTAGTGAGAGTCCCAGGGATAGCTGACCAAGGATTTATCAGACCTCAGAGTACCTGTGGCGCGCTCTGAATTCTTTTCCTTGATTTAATCTGACACATGACCTTCTTCTTAGATCTCCAGGTTATCAGAAGACTATTTCATTCTGCAGAAGAAACTGAATGAAATGATTTTGTCTCAGAAACTGACGCCTTTTTTATCTGGGTGTCTATCTTCATAAGCCAGTTAATAGCAAGTTTCTTCTCAGCACTGCCTCTCAGGTAAAACCCAGTAGACTTAGAACTTGCTGTAGGAAAAGGCAGAGCCAGATACCTTACTGTTTATTAGTTTCCCACTTTTCCTCTATAGCAGATTTGGGGTGATTATGTTCTAACTGCCTTGGCGAGAACCTTCATTTCATTCCATTTCTTGTGAGTGTATGCACATTTTTGCAGAATATTCCACATACCTCCTACCTTCTCTGACTTCATTCTCCTCTCTTTTCTGTTTTTTGCTCTGTATGTATATAATTCAACTAGAACTTGACATATGATACCAGAAAGGAATAGAAAGGGAGTCTGGGGGAGTGGGGGAGTATGCAGGCTTCATAAAAGGGAACAAATGACTAAAATATATCTATTCCTTTTGGAAGTGTCTGCTATCTTAAGTAGAGTGTACAAGGTGAAAATCTCCATTCAGATGTACAAACCCAGATGCATCATTAAATTTTCTCTTAATCTAAGTCACACTCTGCCCCTATCCCACTAAACTGGTGGGGAAGTCAGACTCAGTAATAATCAAGCCTCCACATCTCGAGGACTGTGCAAATGCCCTAGGGCCTTATACACCCACCCAGGATCCGGGAGAGCCTGTGGTCACCAGCTGTTTGCCCACACAGGTACTGTTGGGACACCCATCTCCTAGCTGGCCTCATGACCCTAAAGTCAGGAGGCTCTGCCGCTCCCACCCCTGCAGGAGGTACCCAGAAACTGAGAGGTTCACCTGATCCACATGTGCTCCTGGTAGCCACTTTTTCTGCTCCCTTATCACCTCCCCCAGGGGCTGCCACTGAGGGCCCTGCTGATCTCTGCCCCAAAGAATCTGCATTTGTTTTCCCGTGATCATTTTCACTGGCTCTGTCGGAGGCCCTCTGCTCCCTCCCCACCTGCTCTAGGACACCTGGCTCCACCTCTGCAATGAGCTTGGCTCTTAACAAGACAGGAAGCACTGCTAGCCTCGTGCAGCTTCCGGAGAAGCCCCTTGGGCTGGAAGATATGAAGATGAGCCTGGCTGTTTGTCTGATATGGGAGGAAAGGAAGTAACTTAATGTTTCAAGCAGCGATCCTAAAAAACCAAAAAGCAGCCCAGAGAGTGGTTCTCCAGCCTTTCTACTGCCGCTGTCTCAGGCCCTGGCCCAGAACCTCTAAACGAGTCAGAGCCCAGAGCCCCACTCGTGTGCCAGCCACCAGTGACGCCTGCGCAGAAGGCACGATGGCACGCGGGAGCAGAAGGGGAGGGCAGGGCTTCAGCGTCCCTCTGGTTGTGTACGCAGCAGCCCTAGTGCACGTGGGCAGTGAGGTGCCCTTGGTGCAGAGGAAGCAAGAGCAGCCGGGATGTGTCTCCCTGTAAGCAGCTCAGCCTGTCCTCAGCCGGAAGGAGGCGGGATGGGGGTAGCTTCCTAGGAAGGGAAGGGAGGATACTGAGGTTTGCAGTGACTTTTCACTTCTGAACATCTCAGGGACTTGTGTGTGTGTTTGATAAAAACTGTATGTATTTAGGGTGTGCAATGTGATGATTTGATACAAAAACACATAGTGAAATAATTACTACAGTCAAGCTAATTAACATATCTCCTCATCACATAGTTATCATTTTGGGTGTGTATGTGATGAGAGCCCCCAAATTTACTCTGGTATCAAATTTCCAGCATTCAACACAGTATTACTAACTGTTGTCACCATGCTGCTCATTAGCTCTCTAGACTTCCTCATCCCACGTATCTGTAACTCTGAAGCCTTTGGCCACTATCTCCTCATTTCCCTCGCCTCCCAGCTCTGGGAACCACAGTTCTCCTCTCTGCTTCTGTGTGTTTAATTTTTCTAGGTTCCACGTGTAAGTGAGAGCATGCAGTTTTTCTCTTTCTGGCTTATTTCACTTAACATAATGTCTTTCAGGTTAATCCATGTTACCACAAATGGCAGGATTACTTTTTTCTCATGGCTGAGTAATATTCATATATGTATATACACACACACACACACACACACACCACTTTTGTTACCTATTCATCTGCTGATAGACACTTGGGTTGTTTCCATACCTTGGCAATTATGAAAAATACTATAATGAACATAGGAGTGTATATATCTCTTCAAGATACTGATTTCATTTCCTTTGACATATACCAGAAGAGGGATTGCTGGATCATATAGCAGCTATATTTTTAAATTTTTGGGGAAGCTCCATATTGTTTTCCATAGTGGCTGCACCAAATCACATTCCCACCAACAATGGAAAGGGTTCTCTTTTCTCCACATCCTCGCCAGCATTTGTTTCTCCTTTCTTTTTGATAACAGCCATCCTAACTGGTATGAGGTGATATCTCATTGTGGTTTGCATTTGCATTTTCCTGATGATTAGTGCCATTTATTGAAGAGACTGTCTTCTCCTCATTATGTATTACTGGTGCCCTTGTCAAACATAAGTTGACCATATATGCTTGAGTTTATTTCTGGGCTCTGTATTCTGGCCCATTGGCCTAGATGTCTGTTTTTTGCCAGTACCATATTGTTTTGATTACAATAGCTTTATGATATGGCTTGAAATCAGGAAGTGTGATACCTCCAACTCTGTTCTTTCTCTAGACTGCCTTGTCAGGGAGTATGAATTGTCCTAAAAGCAGAATTTATTTTATTAGAAAGTCAAATTATTTCATTTTATTCTTCACTCTGCTATTTTTTAAAAATGGACCTAAGAAGAATATCAGAAATCAGTTCTTAGCTTACACTGAAAGGACTGTAATTGAGTGGCATATCTAATCCTTCAGGTTTAGAGGGAGAAACAATTTCTTCAGTGCACATGTAGACAGGTTGCATATTCTACTATACTTGTCTAAAGCTAAATTGGACAGCATCTGAATTGTCCCACTTGCCTGGGACTAGCCTTAGAGGAAGTACCTGAGAGGGGCCTGAAGTAACCTAAAGACACAGAGGCATCTGGGTGGACCTGACAAGCCAGAACCAAGAGCAAAGGAGAACATGGGAGGTGTAGTAGATGCCAGTGACCAGAGACTAGACCGAGCAGTTACCCTCAGCAGACGCTGATGAGGACCGAAGGATAGTACAGAGTAGGTGGCCTGTCTCCATTAAAGCTGTGAAGCTGCCAAAGTCCCCTGTCCCTCTACCCTAGATGTGGTCCAGGGAGAAGAAGAGAGTCAGAAACCTAAAATGACTAAATTTACTCATAAAACCGTAAGGAAATTGAAAGCAACTGAGTTTAATGGCCATTTGTTAAAAATAATGTAATGCTAGAAATTAGAAATTAAAAAGGAGTACTAAGAGGTAAAAATTAGGTCAATTTTAGAAAAATCAAGTGACATTTTTGTGCATCTGAATTATACGCTGTGAAAATTTAACCCTGCTATAGATAACTGCTGTTTTAAAAAACCATTCTGATTACATTGTGTGAATATACTTTGATGGCAGGGAAACGTGGAAGGACAGCAGGAGATGATGATGGTTTGGATAAAGTGGTGGCTGAGAAGGTAAACAGGCTCAAGCAATGGTTAGTCAGTAGACGACCTGCCAGGCAAATAGGTGGACACGTGCATGGTTACTGAAGCCATGGGGTGAATGAGATCATTCTGGAACCCACCTACAGCGAGGAGAGGAGAGAACCTAGAGCAGGAGTTGCACGTGCACTGGTCAGGCAGAAAGGAACCAGCCAAGAGGAGCAGCTGGAGAGGTGGGAAGAACACCAGGCAGCCTGGTATCTAGAAGAGGGTTTCCTAGAAGTCATGCAGAAATGATGCTGCAGAGCAAGTGAGAGGACTGAAATACCATTGAATTTCCTATGCATTAGCAGTTACTTACTAAGTCCCCAAGTTTTTTAAATGTTAGGCTAGATACAATAGAAAAGTGGATGCAAATAACCATTGTGCTGCTTTTTAGGAGATTCTCCCCCAATACTTGCTAGGCTTTATCATTGGAGAGAATCTATATTAATGTATTTTAATTATCTATGATTTTTTTTTAATTCCTTGAATAGTTTGTAAAATTTGATGGTAAAATATACTTCAAAGAATTCAGACTGAGGTCACAAATTGGACCAGATATTGGTTGGTCAGTAATAAGTCCCTGCAGGGGTTCTGGATCCATTCTTTTTTTTTTTTTTTAGATTCATATTCAGGTGTTTTAATGCATTATAGGAGCTACCGTGTAGTTCGTTCTTTTTTTAATTTTTTTTAATTTTGGTATCATCAATCTACAATTACATGAGCAACATTATGTTTACTAGACTTCCACCATCATCAGGCCCCCACCACATAACCCATTACAGTCACTGTCTAGATCCCTTCTTGTACCTTGGGATGCACTTGGTTTACCACAGGATAGGCAAACTGCATCCTAAATTTTAGACTGGTTTTCTTTGTGAAACAGCCTTGGTTTGCCATCTCCTGCCCACATTTAAACCAAGAATTCCCACCACCCATTCTTCATTCCTCCAGTTCTGCTGATTTTCTCAGTTGTCTTTGTATACCTGCAGACATCACAGATTTCACACAGGTATTCAGGTACACACTTACAGAGGCAGTAGATTATCAGTGCCACAGTCTGCATTTACTCATCCTCAAAGTTACTTCATGTAATTAGTTTTGTCTTCTTCAAACAGATTTTCAACCCTTTGCAGGCAAGACCATGTCATACTATAAACTCATTTTCCTGTTACACTAGCACACCTATTCATCACACAGTAGACTTTCAGGACCTGCTTATTAATTGGCTGGAAAGCTGATTAATTCTTTCCAAGAATTATAGTGGAACAAAGTATAGTAGGCAGTGGAGTGAAGATCTGAGAATTTGGCTTTAATTAAAACAAAAAATGGAACATTACATTCTTTAAATATTCATGGATTTTTATGTCATCTGCCTTTAAATTCCTTCTTGTCAGAAAAGAAAGTCTTACAACATATAGAAGTTCTTTCTCCTTAGATCATCAGAATTACTAACCATAGAATTTGGAACCTCCCAGTGTGAGCGGCTGCCCTCACCTGCAGAGGCAG